GTGTCATGTTAACTGCCGTCTTTTTTTTTTTTTACCTCTACGTATTATCTTAAACATCAATATATACAAATTTCTCTCTCGTTTATTTCAATTGCACAACTCAGTCATATCAGGGCATGTCTGCCAAGTAGTGTGAAAGCAACAATTATCTAGTGAACAATAGAAGTTTAAATATACAGTCTGGAAATATTGGGCTTTCAGCCTAATCAGTTACATTTTGGGGTGTATCTTGGACTAGAGACACAAGAAACATTCTAAAGACAGCACAGAGTAATTGAACGTCTTTGCCAAACTCTACCAATAAGAAGGAGTCACAGAGTTTTGTGTGGCTATTTGGGTTTTGAAGGACACATATACTTCTCAAGAGTATTTTGTTAGCTCTAATAAATCAAGTGACCAGAAATAAATATGAATTTAAATGAGGTTCAGAATAAAAATTTTTGCAGAAGTTTGTAGCCTAAGAAGTGCCCTTACTACTACTACTATTGCTGTCGAGTTGATTCCAACTCATAGTGAACCTATAGGACAGAGTAGAACTGCCTCATAGGGTTTTCAAGGAGCAGCTGGTTAGCAGCCAAACTCTTAACCACTGCACCACCAGGGCTCCAGAAGTGCCCTTAAGAACATATTATTTCCTTAATGACAAACAATGTAAAACACTTTTTTTCTATACTTACTTGTCATTTATATATACACTTAGGTGACATGTCTGTCACATCTTTTGCCCATTTATTAATTGAGTTATTTTCTTATTGTTCAGTTTTGAGATTTCTTCACACTTCTGCATTCAAGTTCTTTATCAGATATATCATCTGCAAATATTTCCCCACAGCCTATGCCTTGTGTTTTCAATGGCTTAATCAGTGTAACTTGAAGAGCAGAAATTTTTTATTTCAATGAAGCCTAATTTATCAGTTTGCTTTTTTATGGGTCATGCTTTTAGGTCTTGTATATAAAAATTCATTTCCAAAGCCAAGTGTGATCATTAAGGTTGTGTGTCGACTTGGCTGGGCCAAGATTCTCAGTGGTTTGGCAGTTATGATATAGTTTGGTAGTCATATGATGATGTGATTACTCCCATGATGAGATTTGATATAATGTGATCACCTCCATAATGGGATCTGCTATAAGTAGCCAACCAGCTGAAAGGGAGTTTGCTTGGGGGTATGGCCTGCATCCAATATAGGTGGACTGTCTGGCAAAGCTGTGGGCTTTTGCTCACTCTGGATCCTGTAGCTGGCTCTTGTTCGTCTGACCTCCTGTTCTTGGGACTAGAGCTAGCAGCTTACCTGCCGTCTTGCCTGCCGATCTTGGGTTTCATTAGTCTTTGAAGCCAGTAAGCAAGAGCCCTGCTGTCTGACCTGCTGATCTTGGGTTCCCAGCCCCTGGGGCTACATGAATCAGGAGAAGCCTCCAGCCTGACGCATAGACTTGGGACATTCCAATCTCTACAAACATGAGAGCCATTTCCTTGATATAAATCTCTCTATATAGAAATTTGTATGCTTTACTGGTTTTTCTTTAGAGAATCCAGCCTAAGATAGCAAGGTAACACAGATTTTCCCCTATCTTTTCAGAAGTTTTGTATTACGAATATTTTTATATTTTTATATCTTACATTTAGGCCTATGATCCATTTTAATTTATTTGTTGTATCAGTTGTAAAGTATGTGTGTAGATTTTTTTTCAAATGAATGTTTATTTTTTCCAGTACCATTTGTTGAATTGACTGCACTTTCTGTAATTAATTGCCTTTGCTCATTTGCTAACATCAATTGAATATATTTGTATGGTTCTATATCTGGGAGTTCTATTTGGTTCCGTTTATCTATACGTATCTATTTTACCTACACCATGCTGTCTTAATTTTTGTAGCTTTATATTAAGTGTTGACATTGAGTATTGTGAGCCTGTCGATTTTTTTTTCTTTTTCCTAATTATTCTTGCTATTCTATTTGCCTTTCCAAATATACTTTAGGATCAGCTCCTCAGTATCTAAAAAAAGGTTTGGGGTTTTTACTGTGATAGTGATGGCTATAGATCAGAAAATAAACCTCTTAATATTATTGTCTTTTTTTGTTTGTTTGTTTCAATTGATAAATTCAATTGATAAAATAAATACCATTTTTACTGGATGTAGAATTGTCTGCCCTTTTTCTTAAATATCAGTTTAGCCAGTTGTCAAAACTAGATTGACAGAATTTTCTGCCCCAAAATCAGACTCATATATCCACCTGCCTACTCAATATACCCACTGGGATGTCTGTAAGACTTTCAAACTCAATGTGTCTGATTTTTAATTCCCATCTCCTTCCCTCTAACCTGCTAATCACAGCCTTCTCCTTCTCAGTTGATGGCAATTCCATTCTTCTAGTTGCTCTGGTTAAAATTTCAACATTATTCTTGACTCCTTTCGTCTCATCCAATTAGTTAGAAAATCATGCTGCTCTACCTTTAAAATATATCATGAATCTGACCACTTCATCTGCTTTAGTCTTTTCTGGCCACTATCAACCTCTCACCTGGATTCCATGAGAGTCTCCTAACTGGTCTCCTGCTTCAGATCTTTCATTCTAACAATATATTCTCAACACAGCAGCCAGAGTAATGCTTTAAATTAAACCCAGCTGAGTAGAAAATTGATGACTGAGAATAATGGCTCTTAAGAAATTATCCAGACACAAGAGGCTTAGATGAAAAAACAATAAGATTTAATATTCATCTAGTAGGAGTTTCAGAGGAAGAGAAAAGAGAGAATGGAGTTTTATTAAAAAAATAGAATATTTTGTAGAATTGATCAATGCCATATCATAAACTGAATAAATAAAATCATAAGCTGAAAAAAAAATCCTCTTCTAAATATATCATACTCAAATAGTAGAATAGCAAAGACAGAAATAAATTCTTAATATAAATAATAAATGACCTCAAAGGGAAGATTAAATGATTGAGGAATAAAAGTAAAAAAGAGAAATCTGGAAAAATGGAATAATATCCTTAAATATCTTAATATGCTGAGAGAAAGACATTTCACTCATTTATTTGATTCAACATATATTTAATGAGCACACGGATATTATGATTTTTTTTTCTTGCAGTCTCAGAAACACTTAATTTGGAGGAGCTAGGATTGAAATGATAGAGAGAGAGTGAGAGAGAGCGAGGGAGAGAGAAAGAGAGAGGAGTCAGAAAACTGGACATTTATGCAGAATCTCTCTAACCTTTGTATTCGTTCAAGCACTTAATGGCGGCTGGCATAACAGCTTCTTTCCCAAACATATATTATGAGGATGTTGAACATAGTAATACAGTTTACTTAATCTATGTAAGTGATAAATGCAGTCTGTTATATTTGTAGGGGTCTCCACATGGGGTTGCCGTGAGTCAGAATTAACTCGAAGGCAACTAACAACAACTCCTCTTTCTACAAATTGTGTCAGAGTCACAGAATCAGAGACTGTGACAACCCCTATGCCCCGTGTCCTCCTTCTCCACAAACTTACAAAGCCAGGCTTCTTATCTACCACATTCTGTGGACTGCTGTCAGAGAAGAAATAAGTCAAAGATGTCCCATTTTATTCTTACCTCTACCATTTTAATGCAAACTAGCTGAGGTTTCATATATGTGATTTTTTTTCCCCCTCTATCAATAAAAAGCAAAAATCTTGCTTACATTGTTTTAGCCTCTTTTGTAGGAAATTGGAATATGGTTAGTCACATCCATCTTGGCTTAGTTTAACAACATATTTCCAGTTAATATTGTCAGACCTAATGAGATTCTTAAAACTATTATGTTTCATTATAAATCTGTGGGTCTTTTTTTTTTTCTGAAAGCTAAAATGTGATTAAGATATTGCCTTTCTATAATTATATCTGATTTCATAGATTTTCATAAGCATTTTTTTAATTCATTATATTTATTCTATGTATATTTTCCCATTCTTTTACCTTCTTTTTCGGCAAATAAAAAAGTATAAAGTAGTGCATCAATTTTCATATAGAAAATTTTCCTGAAAAAATCATTTATTCATCTTAATGTTTAAATGTTCAGTATACCACAACTGTCAGTTCTATGTGGATTGAATCTATACGTTTAGGTGAATGGTTGACATCCTTAACCCATTCCCAAAGATTTCTTATCAGCCATTAATGCTAAATCATGAAAAGCACGTTGATCCCAATATGGTACACTCGTCTGAATGCAGGTTTTAAGAAGTGAGAGAAAGAGTGTATCATGTAAATGGACATTTATGTATTTGTACTGGTGAGTGAGGCGGTGGTGATGACTGAGTTTTTCGGTTCCTCTGTCAGTCTTAAAAACCTTTTTCTGAGAGGTTGAACAACGTCTCTGGGGCAGTGACGCTTTCTGCCATTTGCATCATTTCTTTCTATGTGTCTGGTGAAGTCCTCCTCCTTTCCCATCCTTTTCATTTTCTTAGCTATGTAATATCCTGTCATAATAGAACTTTAAAAAAGGGAGCAGTTTATGGAAAAAGTAATTTTTTCAGATGCATTTGAGAAGGAACAAAGGGGTCTTTGTGGCTTCCCAGAATGACCAAGCACTCTCATAGAGTCGATTACCTTTATCCCTTCCTACTCCTATCTTTGTCTGCAAACTACCTATTGTAATTTAACACTAGGAGAGTCTATTCTGCTTCCAACCCTGATTAATCCATTCAGGTAATGCAAGAAATGAGAGTGGACAGCACACATTTCAGCACTGACCATCTTAATGCAGTTCCACTGATGAGATGAGATTGGTTTGGTTCCCACAAGGACATCTGCATTCCACAAGTATTATACAAAGTTAACTTAGATGACTAAAGCAGTATGGGGCTTTTGACATTTGATGGAACAATTATCTGCTCATTTTAAGCACATGTGATATCCTGGCAAATCTAAATCAAAAGCAATTGAATTGTTTTTTATTTATTTGTTTTTACTCTCTAAAGGGTCTCTCTCTCTCCCTCTCTCTCTATATATGTGTGTTGTGTGGGTATACGTACATAGATATTATATATATACATATATATAATCCTTGCACAGGGCCATGCTAATCTACTCTGTATCATTCCAATTTTAGTATATGTACCACCAAAGTGAGCACATGTATATATATATGAATACACATAAATACATATCATATATTATATAAATATGTATCATGTATTTATATAACTATATTATGTAATATACATAACTATATATTCTATAGAAACCCTGGTGGTGGAGTGGTTAAGCACTCAACTGATAACCAAAAGTTCAGTGGTTCGAACCCGCCAGCCCCTCCACAGGGAAAACATGTAGCAGTCTGCTTCTGTAAAGATTTACAGCCGTGGAAACCCTGTGGGCAGTTCTACTCTGTCCTATAAGGTTGCTGTGAGTCAGAATCAACTCAATGGTAATGGCTTTATATATTATATATTGTATATAATATATATTGTATATAATATATAGTATGTATTATATCTATATACCTATATTATATAATATATATAACTCTGTGTTATATTTGTATAAGGAGAGTATTCTCTCTCTGTACATATAAACCTTTAGATATGATTTAATACTAGTTAGATGATGATGAAGGAGCCTTGGTGACACAACAGTTAAGTGCTCAGCTGCTAACCAAAAGGTTGGCAGTTCAAACCCACCAGCAGCTCTATGAGAAAAGACCTGGCAATCTGCTCCTATAAAGATTTCATCCTAGGAAACCCTATGGGGCAATTCTACTCTGTCACATGGGGTAGCTATGAGTCAGAATCAACTCAAGGGCACATAACAAGAACAGATGATGATGATGGTGATGATGCAGCCCAAGGAGGGTATAGACTTATGAGATGGGGTAATAGCCTGAGAAGAAAAAAATTAGGAGAATGGAAACCTATAGGGGAAAAGTGGCAGAAAAAGGTAGCAAGTTTAGCTGGAAGCATATTGCAGAAACTACTTAGTATTTTGTGAGTTTAATTAAGCATTAGGGGACTCTTAGAGATTTGTGAATAGAGGACCTAATTTCTCAAAGATGTGCATTTGGAAGTCTGTTTTAGCATTGGTGAGTATGGGAGTTTGAAGTAGGAAAGCTGGAAATAGAGAGGCCAGTGAAGAAGTTGATGATGTCTGTATTAAGAGAATTACAAGCTCCTTCACAAACTGGCTCCTGGCCACCTCTCCAACCTCATGTTTTCCACTCTCCCTCCATTCCCTATAAGGAGTGTAGAAATACTTACAGTCACTCTCTCATGTATCCTGGCCTTGGGTACCATGCCCATTCCACGGCACTTAGCACACCTGTACTTACCTATCAACTCTAAGTCTTTCCCGAAGGCTTTGCTAACCCTGTAAGTTCATCAGAGTTAGCTTCTACCAGTCTAGACTTCTCTGCTTTTAGTCTTGAAGGGAGAGGCTAGTACTTTAATTTCAGTAGATTGAGTACTCCACAGAGAATTTACCATTGATTCCAAGCTCAATATTTCAACTTAAATAAGTGAAAGATCTTAAATGGATGTAGTCAGGGGGTTCTTCTTATTTAAGGGAGGACATGAAAGATGTGCTCAGATTTCAGTGGAACTTGAGGAAGGAGAGATTCACTTAGCAGCTAGAAATGCAACACTAGATTTCAAAAGTAGGCCTGTGATTGGAGATAAAAATTAGAGTGATACTCTCACAGAGAAGAGAGTAAAACTGTAGGAGGAAATGGAATAGCCAAAGGAAAGAGTGTAAAAGTTGAAGACCTATGTTAATTTTAACAGTTTTATTGTCTTAGCTTTTCAAGAATCAGGTTCATACTTAATTTATTCCAAATTTGTGTTTAAGCTTATTTTGATATTAAATTAGGCATCCCCCTCAAGGTACTGTGTTTAAGCAGGTAATAGGGAACAAAAACATAAGAGCTCCACCACTGAGGAGAATCTCATTCTGTTATTGCCATCTCACTGAAAGGTTGCTTCATTTGCCTGGAAATGTTCAGATATATGGTCACTTATGAGATAGAAATCAATGTACATGGCACAGTTAATCTATCTTTCACTTTCTTTTTCATGAATCAGCATTAGAGAAATCACTTCTGGTTGCTACACCATTCAGAAATGCTATCTTAATTAAATTTATTCTAGCAACATAATCTTCACAGTTATTAGTCACTGGTATTTGTGCAATAATGTGCCTATTGGGAAAATATTACAAGCAGGATTTAGAAGATTAAGCTCAGGAGTATTATCACCATGCCCTAGAGAAACAGAATAGCTGCCATTTTAAAGTAGGAAAGATTATGGGAAATGAAATGAAGATGAAGGCAGTGGATTTCCCGTAAATTGTTTGTTGTAGGCATTTCGATCATGTGATTGCATGTTTGTATGAAATACAAGGAAAGTACCATTTTGTAAGATACAATTAAAGACAACTTTCAGGATTACCTTCGGTTTTCACAAAGAAAGGTAAAGAAGTACTTTCAGAAGTACTCACAATCTAGAAATCAGACTTAAGAGTTTTGGAAAAGTTTCAAAAAATCATGTTTGAATACTGGAAGAAATGAAATAAAATGCCTACAAAGTATTAAAACCTGAGTACCTCCATTTAAGATATTTCAATATAATTACAAAATCTTGACTGTAGCGCTTTCATTAACTATGCATATATTTTGAAGCTATGTGTCAAATCGACTTTATTGCAGTGCAATCTGTCAATCCTCATGGGTGTAGCAAATTGAAATCGTTTTCCTGGGCTTGTAGTATAAAGAATTTCATGTTTCTGAAGTGCTTGCTAAGGCGTCAGTAACTCTAGGAAGCAGCTGGTAAGAAATAAGGAGGTAGCTTTGCCATTTGGTGCTAAAAAAAAGACATGTGGTTTATAAATTCATCACCGTCAGTTTAGAAAGCAACACTGTCAGTGAATTATCTTCTTGAGTGAAAAAGAAGGGAGACTATAATTATATACATATAAAACATCTTAAGGGCTTATTTATTTGTCCTTTCAACAAATAGTTGAGTGACGAAATTCCAAGCAAGTACAAATGCTGAGAGCCAAAAAGGAATAATAATAATACTCTGCGGACAGTGAGAAGCATAATAAAATTCAAGATAAATAGAGGATTTTATTTTATTCCTTAGGAGGTATTTGAATAAAGTCACAAAAAAAGAAAACATAAATTGGAGTAAAGGAAAAGGCATTTCATTTGGGAATAATTGTATATGCAAAATACTGGAGGTAGAAATTACCCAGTTTTGCATAAAATCAGAGTTTGATTTGAATGCTGATTTCCTGTTTGGAAATGCAGGTTTTACATCATTCAAAATGGAGTTATAGTCTCAGTACCTCAGTGCTGATACATATTAGAATTTTTCTTCTTGACAAAATTAAGAAAACAATTAAGGAAGTAGCTGTCTATTTTTCTTTTTTCATAAATTCTCTATTTAAAAAAATGTTCATAATAACATTGTGACTGTCTTTGGAAAGCTTAAATTGTACGTTAATGATTTCCCATAAATATTCTGTGAGATTCTATTGTGTAGAATCACTTAGGAGGATTTCCCAGTGGAAATTAGAATTGAGAGGATCGTGAGAGAGAGAAATTTATAATAATAATAAAAAAAATACTAATGAAAAGAAATTTTTTAGATGATGAAAGTAGATGATTACTTTGGGCAACTCTGTTTCAGAGCTGACCCAAGCAATACAACTCAGAATTCATTCTTAATTTCTCATTAAATCAAAAGCAGGTTTCCCATCTACTCAACTTCCGTGCTATACACTTAGACAAACGACTACATACTTAATGTTATTATAATTACTATTAATGTTAATTTTTTAATGTAGTTATTGACAACATAGTTTTTATATGAGAATCTAAATATAGGCTCCAATTAGTCTTGAGTTAATATATAATCTAAAATACGAAGGGCTATAAAATTAATATTTAATTTAAATATAATGATCATTTCAAAGAAAGAAAAATAAGTTAACCTGTTTTCAGAATCCCCATAGAGTTCACTATGGTAAAACAAGGTCTATTAAAGAGATAGATATATTTACTCATTGCCATTGAGTGGATTCCAACTCATAGCTACCCTATAGGACAGAGTAGAACTGCCCTATAGGGTTTCCAAGGCTGTAATCTTTTTTTTTTCTTTTTTGACCCTCCAACTGTTTTCTTTTTTCTTTAATTGTACTTTAGATGAAGGTTTACAGAAAAAACTAGCTCTCATTGAACAATAAGTATACATGTTGTTTTATGACATTGGTTACCAACCCCACGACATGTCAACACTCTCCCTTCTCGATGTTGGGTTTCCTATTACCAGCTTTCCTGTCCCCTCCTGCCTTCTAGTCCTTATCCCTGGGCTGGTGTGCCCCTTTAGCCTCATTTTGTTTTATGGGCCTGTCTAATCTTTGGCTGAACATTACTGAGCTAAAAGTGTGTCTGGGGGCCATACTCTCAGGATTTCTCTGATCTCTGTCAGGCCAGTAAGTCTGTTTTTTTTTTTTTTTTTTTTTGGTGAGAATTTTGTTCTACATTTTTCTCCAGCTCTGTCTGGGGCCTTCTGTTGTGATCCCTGTCAGAGCAGTCGGTGACGGTAGCTGGGCACCATCTAGTTGTGCTGGACTCAGTCTGGTGGTGGCTGTAGTAGCTGTGTTCCATCCAAGGCTGTAATCTTTATGGAAGCAGACTGCTGCATCTTCCTCCCATGGAGCAGCTGGTGGGTTTGAACCACCCACTTTTCAGTTACAAGCCAAACACTTAACCACTGTGCCACTAGAGCTCCTTAGATAAATATATAGATACAAACATTAATAGATAAGTAAATAGATAGATATTGATATATATTCTATTTCATAGATGTTCATCCTACAGATATTTTGGCAAATGTCCAAAACAAGAGATAACTGAATTATAGTACACAGACTTTGGCACTAACATATAGTAAAGTAAGAATTTTTTTTTTTTTTTTTCAATCTGTATCTATACTGAAAGCTTGGCAAAGAAATACTTACACAATCACAAAACAGTCCAAGTACAACTTGACCAAGGCAAGATCATGGAACCTCCATAGACACATCCAGACTCTCTGAGGGACAAATTACTGGGCTGAGGACTGGGGATCATGGTGTCGG